GTTGGGTTCCTTTTGATCATTTCACTAGGACGACGGGTTGTTGATATGCAGTTTTTATCTTTCGCCATGACAAAGAGTAGCTGATTCTAAGCTTGTTGAACAGATAGCAAACTTTTGAGGTCCACAATGGCGTATAAGATAAAAAATGCATACTGCAGTTACAAAAATGCCACGAGACGAGAACGAACTTCAGTTCCATAAGGGTGTGGGTGTGGGTAAGGGTCTCTTCACCTCATCCACGCACACCCACACCCAACTCACACGCACACCCCACACCCTCGCTACGAAATTTTCAAATAATAATGTGAAAATCTGTGCTTTTTTGGCATCATCTACCAACAAAATTCACTTTCGCTCCCACAACTTTGATTAAATGAAAATAATTTGTTTGCACTATTTTGTAGCGAAGACTTTCGACTTTCTGACTATGTAAATTGATCACAAATTTGGTTTCAATCGGCCATGAAATCGTGCAAAAACTATCTAAACATACATTTTGATCATTATATGCCATGACAGATTAAATTGAAGCTACTAAAGCCGATTTAGAAGCAAACTCAAATTTTCTTTTTCTATTCAATAGACTAAAGGGTGAGAAATCTTTTGATAAAAAAATTTTCTAAGAACCTTTTGGATCAAATAAAAAGCTACAAATAACAGGGAAAGGCAGCTATTTTTCTACTAAATGTTACGATAGATTTTTTTCATTTGGTTTCTGTTTTCCCAGTAATTATAAGAGTTTAGCCAATGAATATATTTTAATCTTTTTTAGCCGATAATATGGTAGATCCTTGATAAAAATTGCAGCTCTTTAATGACTATCGTTCGTGAGAAAACAGTATTTTACTCGAAAAATGTCACGATGAATTTTATCGTACCAAAATGTGACAACAGGTGAAAATGAAGCTACTCAAGTCGATTTATAAGCAAATTCAAATTTTCTTTTCTGTTCGATAGAGTAGAGGGCAAGAAATCTTTTCATAAAGAAATTTTTTTTCTTAGAACCTTCAGAATGGCCAAAATATCTGAGGATGTGGTAGAGGTGAGCATGTGAGGATCATCCGCACCTTGATGCCCTTAGAATATGCACGCATTTGTACGGATAAAATTTTGCATATACTCATTTGATTCTTCTTTTCAAAAGCTTTCGATTGATATACGATGACAATATATAAATACTCATTTAGTAATTTTATTTTGTCAAATTATTTCCAAAATTATTTCTTTTATTGTGTCAAGAAATCTTGAAAAACATGCATTTTTTAAATAAAACTCGATTTTTCCCAAAACGAAAAAACTGACAGTTAGGAAAATACGTGATTTATATACAATCAATCGAGCTTCATCGAATGCATCATTCATAGATTCTTCAAATTCACTTTTATTTTTTTCGATTTTTTACGTCAAGCCGTAGACTACCAGCGCAATTCACCCATATGTGCAGATTCGAATCAACGATAGTTAGTTTAATACTTTTGTATGAGTCATGATATTTGAATTGATAATCAACTTAATTGATCCACATTCTCAATTCATACTATTTAATCTTCAGTCTTTTTTTGACTGGTTTTCTAAAAGTGAAGTACTTGAAGTAATATGCCTCTATTCCATACGAAAAATAACATCCTTCATTTGTCCATCTAACAGTAAATATTTTTACTCTTACAATCAGTTCAGATTAAGACAATGTGTTATGCTTCTGACTTTTTTTAAAGAAAAATTGCTCGATTGACTTCAAGTTACAAGAAGTTTGTCAATCATCTAAATACAAAAAAGTTTTTAGTTATATAGACAGAGTCATTGTTAATAATTGGTTATTTCTCTGTGATTGATTTTTCTGATGCTCATCCGTCAGACGAATTTTTCATGCGACTAAATTGATGTATAACGAAAGAGACTGCTTTTGTTACACTTAGCTTTCGTCAACAATCATCAAGCTACTGTGAACGTGTGGCATGTCTAAATGAATAAAAGCTAAGATCAATTGGATATTGACAACCACGACGTGATTGTGCAACGTTCGATGTCGTATAAAATACCTGTACATTTACCTGGACAAAACCAATTTGTTTCGTTCACATGTTATGAGTTATTCGTCATCTTTATATGATTTTTATCAATATATACACGAACTAATTGATTTTCAACATAGAAAGGAAAAAACCTAATTAACAACGAGCTATGACATAATGATGATAGACGATGATTGTCATGATATAGTCGTAAGATTGAGTGATTATATATCAGTCCAAAGTAATTATGTTACGTGGGTTGCTCATGAGTCATGACTTTCCGGAAGACCACTTTTACAACCACGTTGCAACTATCATCGTCTGCCATCATTATGTCATAGCTCGTTGTTAATTAGGTTTTTTCCTTTCTATGTTGAAAATTAGTAAGTTCGTGTATATACTGATAAAAATCATATAGAGATGACGAACAACTCATAACATGTGAACGAAACACTTTGGTTTTTTCCAGATAAATTTACAAATATTTATACGACATCAAACTTTCCGTAGCCAAGGAACAGTATATCGACATCATTCACACTACACAAAAGGTACGTCCATTAGCAACATTACCATCGTCTAATGTCCACATACTATCCAGACCATTATCAGTATCAGTTATCCGACGAAGAATTCTGTTGCACAGGCGATTTTTGGGTATCCGACGAGGAATTCTGTCACACAGACGATTATTGGGTATCCGACGAAGAACTGTGGCCCACAGACGATCATTGGTTATCGGACGAGGAACTCTCGTCTACAGACTACAATCAATTATCCGACCAGAAACTCGGACCCACAAACTATCAGGGGTTGTCCAATGAAAAACTTAGGTCCACAAAATACCAATGGTTGTCCGACGACGAACTTAAGCGTAAGGAAGTTGAACACAGGCGAGCGTACAATGGTAAAATATCGACCATTCCCATATCCGCGGGCTTCGGAGTAAAATCGTTGGTATCTACAGGAGGATTGGCAGCCCCTATCGTCTTCGCTGGCTTGGGCTACAAACTTTACAAGATACATTCTCACCACAAGAAACACGATGCAATTGAAGCCGAATTAGCTGCGCGTCATGTCTCTCCTCAGCCCACAAAGATACGAGACACAATGATTCCTTTCGCCACCAGTGCTACTACCTCTCTGCTTACTCACGGTATCGGTCATGGTCTTCACGATGTGTTTAAAAAATGATTGAACTCGAAGAGATAAAACGTCAATGAATGCCTCTTGTTTATTTCTAGTAAAAAAAGGAGGACGTTCATTTTGATTTTCTACAATAATAATTCAAATAAATAAACGCGATTTAAAACATTCGAAGCGATGTGACCCATCGGTGGATCCCACAACATTTAAACAAGAAGCCTAATAGAAAAACATTTTCTTTTCCTTTTTTTTCTTATGCAGGAGATTACACATAATATGTCATCCAATCTGTCTTCGTTATTATTCTTTGAATCATTTATTGCATAGAATGACGCTTCTCACTGAAACAATCAAGACAAAAAAAATTTTTGTCACAATCATAACAGAAGATTTTTATTTTCTTTGGTATCGCATTACTTGCTTCTCTTGATTATTGTTCTTTTCTTTTATCATAGCAGCTAGCACAGAGTTTTCGAACGATAAGCGCAGATATTTCCTTTTCTTCGAGTAGAGCGAACGATGTCGATATGCTATTTGTTGTTTGTGCGAAGTTTGATGTCGTATAAAATACCTGTATATTTACCTGGAAAAAAGCAACATGTTTCACTCACATGTTATGTGCTGTTTGTCACATCTATATGATTTTTATCAGTACATACACGAAATAATTAATGTTATAGCATAGCAAAGAAAAAAACTAATTAACAACGAGCTATGACACAATGAGGGTAGACGATGATAGTCGCAATACACAGGGTGGCGCAAAAGTTACTTTACCGAAAAAAATTGAATATCTCCATTACGGCTTGAGCAAATGAGCTGATTTTTTTACCAATAATAGAGGGACGTTCAACGATGTGGGTGGGGGTGCGGGTGTGTGTGGGTGTGATTTCCTTCTTCATCCACACCCACACCCACACCCACACCCAATAAGGACTGAAAATAGAGAAATACATAACGATTTTACTTCTGTTTTTTTTTACTGCAGCTATCCCATCATTAGATGGATTCACAATCAAGCATACGGCGGTGGGCGATAGACAAGTCACTGTAATCTGGGATGAATTACCTGAAGCGACAAGCTAGGTTGTTGAATATGGTGCTAATTCACATGTATATGTACCCGCCATTAATTCCAAAGCTACTTCATTCACAGCCACTGGCGTTGACAATAAAGCTACATACTACTTTAAAGTTTTTGCACGCTCACAAGCTGGTCTTTTGGCTGTCACACCTACAGTCTTGGTAACACTTACTCGATGGAGTGGCCTTCAACCTCAACAGCTAGGTCTTCTAGTCAATGGCAATGATCCCGATAGTATAGCGGTTGCCGAATATTATAGAATACGTCGTCAGATTCCCTCTGAAAACATAGTACATCTGAATTTTTCCAAGGTAACTAGATTGACTGCCAATGAATTTGTACCATTGAAAACCAAAGTTGATCAATTGATGCCAGCAACCGTTCAGGCTCTTGCCATTGCTTGGACAATACCCTATGGTGTTGAATGCAACTCAATCACTTCCTCTTTCACATTCGGATTTCAAGTAGGCCCTTGTAAAACAGGAACTTGTGACTGGGCTACTAGCTCACCCTACTATCATTCCAATTCGACACAACCTTTCACTGATTTTAAAATACGTTCAGCCATGATGCTTGCAGGAAAGAATATCGATTAAGTCAAAGCTTTGATCGATCGAGGAATTGCATCAGATGGAACGTATCCGAATGGTTCTGCTTATATAATGAACACAACTGATTCTGTCAGGAGTGTTCGTGTCATAGTCTTTCCTGTTGGCTACCTAGGAAAAACATTGAGTCCATATGTCAATGTCCAAGTTATGAAAGCCAATTCAATTTCAGAAACTACGGATGTACTTTTCTATTTTCAAGGCTTACATGCTGTTAATGATATTGCAACAAACAAATATCCACCAGCAGCAGTGGCGGATCATTTGACATCATATGGTGGAATGCTCACCGATTCATCTCAGATGTCTGTTCTAAAATTTATTGCTGGCGGTGCTTATGATACAACATTACACCAAAGGTGAAACGCTTATTGAATCCTATTGGAAAAGTATTCTACAAGTCTTTCAAGGTGTATTCGTTGGAGAACCATTGGCTAATCCTTGGAGAAAACAACTTTCTTAAACATGATAACTTTTCCGTTTATCTTGTTTAAAAACTGATGATTCATCAGTGTTTTATAATAAAATGCACCAAAATATCATTGCAGCTTAAATCGTAACATATCTTGCGGGTGCAGGCGTACAAAACTTAGCTCACACAGTCCTGACCAAAAGTCCCTCATTCCCCGCCTCAACTTTATCAATATTTCAAGCTTTTGGTTTGAGATTTTGACTGCATGTAAGTACTGATAAACACTGATCACAGCCACCAACTCGACATCAATTCAATGTAATACAACAGAGTTATACGCCAAACACTATCGTTATCTTGCATTGTTTGTATCTCAGTCATACAACCAATTTGAAGATCGGAGAACCCAGCATTCAAAAGCTTCATTCTTCAGCTTTCTCCGATAAAATCTGCATTAGAAACATCCTTCGAATTGCTGAGATCAGAGATGGAACCGGTCTACCGGCCAAAACCAGCCTACTGGTACTAAACAGGATGCTGATGATACGTCACTTTATAAGATAAAATCTGACCTACCGACAAAATATCGATCTTCAGACAACAGGCTGAGGCTTGAAATGAAACCTTGTTTCATAGTGAACTCTCTTGCGAGCTACCTTCGTACTTTCACGCATACTGGCATAATGTTTCACCGTTGATAACAATAGTCTCACGGATGGGCATTCTGAAAACTGTTTGTTAAATAAATTCCTGTGTGATCAGTGACCTAATCTTGATGCCAGTTTTTTTTCATATGAATACCATCATAGAGCAGGAAAGTGAAAAATATAGACCGGTATAAGGCGGTTTCGACCGATCAGACCGGTTTAAAGCGGTAGACTGAGCGATCCAAAATCTAGACCGGTACCAGTTCCATCTCTGGCTGAGATATCATCCTCTTAATGGGTATCGATCGAATCACAATTATGATGATTTTCACTTCGTCATTATGAAAATCACCCTTACATTGGCCGATTCACTTGAGAATTCTTTCTCGACATACTTCTAGATATAGGAATGTTTCGTGAAAGTTTCAATGTCATAGCTTGTACTAAACTCGAAATACGACGATATAATAGTCTCGTTATCGATTATGTTGCCAAACACTTATATCTCAATGAATCCAGTTGTTCTTTCTACCCAGCATTGTTCTATATCCAATAAATAGTACAGATAGCAACATAAAAGAAAATGAAAATATTTTCAGTTATGATTTTGCATCATCTTGACTAAATGTAATAGGTTTAGTTTTAGAATCAACATTTTGTAATTAATCCCAAGCATCTATAATATCAATTCGACTTCTCTGAATCACACTATACGAATAAATACTAAAAGATCTATCAATACTCTATATGTATATATCGGAAAATTTCTTCTATTAAACCGGATGATATTGTATTATTTAAAAATTAGTGAAACTAGATATATAAGAAGGACAACATGTACAAACAGAAAGTGTAAGATTTGATATAGAAAAAAAAATTATTCTATATCTAAACGACTTATAGGAGATTTTTCCAGTGATACATATAGCTCCTAATGTGTACAATGCTGGGTAGAGAGAACAACTGGATTCATTGAGATATAAATGTTTGGCGATATAATCAGTAACGAGACTATTATATCGTCGTATTTCGAGTTTAATACAAGCTATGACATTGAAACTTTCATGAAACATTCCTATACCTAGAAGTATATGGAGAAAAAATTCTTAAGTGAATCGGTCAATGTAAAGGTGATTTTCATTATGACGAAGTGGAAATCATCATAATTGTGATTCGGTCGATATCCATTAACAGACTGATATCTCAGCAATCCGAAGGATGTTTCTAACGCAAATTTTATCGAAGAAAGCTGAAGACTCAAGCTTTTGAATGCTGGATTTCTCGATCTCCAAAGTGATTGTACGACTGAGATACAAACAATGCAAGATGACGATAGTGTTTGGCGTATAACTCTGTTGTAATACATTGATTGATGTCAGGTTGGTGTCGATGATCAGCGTTTGTCAGTATTCACGTGCGGCCAAAATCTCAAACCAAAAGCTTGAAATATTGATAAAGTTCAGGGGGGAGGGGGTGAGGGACTTTTGGCCAGAACTGTAAGAAAAAAATGTTCCAATTGCGGTACTAAAAATTATATATGAGTAAGTACTATTTTTTAGTGAATTAACTTTTGAATCATGTCAACTACAAGGTAATTTAAGAGAAATGACCCGTCGAAAGAAAACGCTAGCCCTCGGCTCAATAAATAGAACTAAATTGTCAATGCCGCTCTTTGAAGAATCCAAAGTTAGGAACTCCCAAACTCGAACTTATAAGTCTATGAGAGTTTTAAGTAGCTTATTCTAAAAGACGCCACATAAATGAGTAAATAACAACTATAATAATTTGTATAGTTGATACCATGTAACGTACTGAACTTTCTCAAACTATTGCTATCGCCAGACTTCATTGTATCATGTTTGAAAATTGAACCTAAAAAGAAGCTAGGAAACATGATTACTACATTTACGTCCGCCAGAGACGGTTTCGATTACATGAAAAAGCAAACATTGGTTAGGGTTTTTTCTTCGACGACATCAAGTTCTTATTCTGTGAAGTTGATTGTTCTCACTCTCCAATATCGCTCGTGAAGGTATTATATAAGAAATCATAGAAACAGCCCATCTATTGATCGATTATTGATTTGCTCATAAGCAATCGTGCATTGTAGTGTGCATCATATTCACCTTTGGAATCTTTGGAATTTTCTCAAAGGGGCAGTTCAGAAAGAAAAGGTTTTCTGCTTCAAACTCTACCGACAACGATTACTGCTCCTCGGTGTTGCTATTGAATCATGCTATATACATGAACGATTTTAATTCTTTCGCCTATCATGATTAGAGATGTAAGTCGATGAGTTAATTGATGGTAGGAGCGGATCGATTTCTTCGATGGTTTTCTGTAAAATCTTCTTAGTTTCGAGAGACTTCGAAATGCAAAAGATAGACAATGTTGATAAACAACTGGCTGACAAGAAACTCGATAAATCATATAAAAAAAATCTGTTTTTAGTCCAGTTTAAGTCACATTATTCAGTTTCTGATCACTTTAATCATTATGGTTATAAAGCGCGTTTTTCTCGAGTTTTAATTGAGAAACTCAACTTTTTGAATAGTTTCTCAGACTTGATGACTAAACAAATGGTAAATATAATACCAGACCAACTTTTGATATACATGCCATACTTTGGATTACTATAGCAAAAAATACTTACTCATAGAAAAAAAATGTCGATAACATAAGTTAAAGCAAATCATTCGTTGATTAAACTGATTGAAAATTTAGTTTCCAGCTACAAAAACAGAGTTCATTTGATTTTAATCAATTTTAAGTAACGAAAAATCAGTTAAAAGCAGATTTTTTTTCACTTTTTTTTATCGAAAGAACATTCCCAAAAACTAATTCTGAGTGTCGAAAATTTTCGAAGACCTAATGTTTTTTGTGTCACGGCAACGGTTAAAAACCTGTAACATTTTTTGGCTTTGGGCGATGGCTCAACCGTTCGACTTACGCTTCTGATCATAATAATGTCATATGCATGAAGCAGTTTGAAGTATCGAACATGTATAAATCAACAATTGCTCCCGGTGCACTTATTGATCGTTTTGTGTTGAGCGAAAAGGAATCGGTGATTTTTGAGTATTCTTTCATTTCTGTTAATGGAAAAAGGTTTTACTTTTCTTTCTTTCCAACAATGCAGCACATGATGTATTGTAGGCACATTAAAACGAAAGTAACACATCTCTATCACTCTTCCTGCACGTTTCGTCGTCAAACAATCAGCCATATATTACTAATGATGTGATAACATGGTGGCAACACAAAGATATTGCCTCTAAGATTAGATGTTACATGAAATCGAAGACTATATTAGTAAGCTGATGTATTGGAGCAGTAACTGAATAGCTGCAAGAACTTGTCTACCAGTAGTGTCAAACTTGAAACTTGAATTCAATTACTCAATTATTGAATAGTTGAAGTTCAGACATCCAACTATTTAATATTTTCTACTCTCTCAGTCATTTCGCTGCATCCACATCAGCTGCGATGAATAATTGAATAGTTGAATTCAACTTTCAGGTTTGACATGTATGTCGTCTACTTAGAGTAACTAAAGAAAATTTTAAATTAGATAATCTATGCTAGATTATTCGCTTATAGAAAGATTCTCAACAGAAAAATAGTAAGCATGTATCATCTAAGCCGAATGTTTTAGAAGTCAAGTCTAACGAATCGATAGATTCTCGAAGATCAACTATCTAAACTCCATATAAAAAAATAAGCAAATAAATCCAATTTGAATCGATTCTTTCTGATTCAAATCATGAGAAATTAGAAAATTCGAGCTTCATGCACGGAGAATCTACCAAAAGTAGTGGCAGTGGCACTCAAATACTGTATAGCAAGCTTAAAAAACAATTTTCAGTTTATATGGATTGATAGTAAAAACATTATTCTACAGGCCTGTTCTTTGTTTTGCTATTCTCTTTGTTGTTCTCCTTTCTCTTGTTCTTTTTTTCTCGCCTTCTGTAATACCTAATCGTCGATGCATATACATAAAGACACGTGTACCGTTTGTTTGGTGTGTATGTTCAGTTAATTAACATATTTTTCAGCAATATAAAGAAATAAAGTTAGATTAAAACTTAAAACTGTTCATTGCTAACTCAGATGAACAAGGAAAATTTCTGCTTCTATGTTAAAGTGTGTACTGCACTTCATATTCAAGCCTCTTATATTATAAAAGAGAAGAGAAGAATAGAGAGAACATCAAAAAGAGGATACACATCCAAGACAAAACATGACTTAATATTACTGTCACATATCATAACAAACAGATCTTATTGAAATTTTATTATGATGATACTAAAAGCTTACCATACGGTATTGAAGTGTCACTACCACTACTTTTGGTATACTCTAACTATCAGTGAATTCTC